GGTCCTAAACCTATTTTGAAGAGGAGGGGAAATATTTTGGACACAAATTAGACCTAAGGAGGCGGAGAGACACTACTTTAGGGTTAGACAACACCCTTGGAGGCAAAAACACATTGGGAGCAAGGCGGAGAATTCTTCTACGAGTTTTTTCCTTCCTCTTCCTATTTTTTATTGTTGGTTATGACTTTTAGTATTGTAGTTTTACATACTATTATGAATAGCTAATTTGTTATCTAGAGTTTTGATAGAACCTTTTGTAGGATAAATTCTTGTTATGTTTTTATATAATTGAGCCATAGCTTTTCTCTATTTGTTCAACTGCGTTTATGTTCTGGTTGATTGAAGAGCTCTCAATTAGCTGTGCCTATTTAGTATGCATAACTTGGGAGAGAGTGCATATTTAGGTAATTGTTGAACAACACCACTCCCAGAGTATATGAGGGATCAATAACCGAGGGTTTAAAGGTGGGATTAGGGATAACGAAGCCTTGGGTGTGATCTGAAGTGAGCTGTATTAGAAGCCAGCTAGCGTAGCTCGGGAGAGTGCGTCTAGTAAATTGTCGTAATTACTCGGGAGAGAGTTATGGTAATAAGAGTGCTCATGATCGGTAGAGAATACTTAGGCGAAATTATAGAAGACATAGCGGGAAGGATTCCGACAATAGGGTAAATCATAACTCTAGACCTCCTTAATCTTTTCTCTAACCCTCAGTATCGTTAGTTGTTAATTTACTATTTTAATTTGTTAGTTAATTAGTTAAACACAAGAATCTTAATATCTATAAGTTAGGAATTGTTCAAGCTTGTCTTCTTGGTGATAGTGAACAGCTGTAGCTAAACCTTAGTTCTCTGTGGTATTCGACTCCGGACTTGTAAACCGGATTATATTTGCAACGACCGCATTGTCCTTTTTATAAGGCATAGTTGGGCGTGATCAACTAACAATAGGGAAAAGATAAAATGGTAAGTTGGACGACGGTTATGGTTAAACAAATTAATTAATATTGTTGATCATCAATTACTAAGCTTCTTATTGATTAAAAAAAAAGTATAAATAGCTGCAGGACGAAGATAGCGAGGGGAAATGGGGAATGGTATGGAGTTGAACAAATTTCCACGTTGCTTCCTTTGCTTGTTTGATTTAGCTTTCATCTTCCTCTGGATTTTTGTGAATTATCCAATATTATTTTCTTTCAAACTGCATCTATCCCAAGAAGATTTGATAAACGAAAATGCATTGGACAAACTTAGTCTCAACGACTTTTTTGATACTAATTAAGTAGTAAAGTATGAAAAAAAGAATCATGGATCTATACATATTAATTCTAGAAAAAGTAGCTTACTGGATTTTAGATAAATTATTTGTGCATATTAAGTGATTTTTTAAATACAAATATAAATTCTAGCCAAAACTATTGGGGCCTGCCGAATCTGTAAATAGAGTCGTAGCTCCGCCCCTGCATGTTGCTTCTTTCATTCAATACCGCTAGATGTAACAGTTAAGATATCTAAATCTGCATCATCTGAGCTCTCCTGGTCAATTTTATTACGTTAACAGAAATCTTACTTTTTTGAAGCGAAAAAAAAGTATGAGAAAATACGAGTAATTAAAATTGAGAATTATGGTCGCGAATAATTGCGTAAATATTGAAATGGTCACTTTATGGGTCATTTTTTAATTATCCATTGATTTAACAAAAGCACCATAATTGACCAGATAAAGTCTGGTAAAAATGCTGAGGGTAGCATTAATTAGGCGAAGGTAGTTTGCATGGCTTGACTACTAGAATACAATTAATTGGGATTTTGCACTTTTAGTCCCTCTATTGAGCAATCCCATTTTTTGGTCCAAAAGATAATTTTGGAGACACATTAAACCATCCAGTTAGCTCGTTGAACCTACGGTATAACGTTTGATTCATTAGAGCTCATTATAGTTCAAATTATAATTTTTCGCCGAACATTATAATTCAACATACAATTTAACCAATTTGAGTCTGGGGATTTGGGTTCTTTTTAAGCACTTTTAAGGTATATATTAATTCTAGTACTCGAAATATTATGGTTTATTTTATTAAGATAGATTTTTATTTAACTAAATAGAGATAAATGAACGTAAAGTTTACGCAGAAAGAATAACACTTATCATGTATTTATTGTTTTTAATAGAGCATTTAAAAAAAAATGCACGTGATATGTGTAATTACATTGTCTAGTTTTAGTCTGTTGATTGTTAGGTAAATTTCACAAATGGTCACATAACTATGACATTTTTTCACCAAAGTCAGATAACTTTGTTTTCTCACACAAAAATCATATAACTGTGCTTTTTTTTTTTCCTTCATAAAAGTCACATAACTTTATTTTCTCATACAAAAATCATAAAACTTTCATTAACTCATATAAAAATCATAGTAGTCGGAAAATAAATTTTCCGTTACTATTTCCTTATTTTACGTTTTTATTTTTATTTTTTATTTTTGGTCTAATAAATAATTTCCGAATTAAAATTGGAGAAATATGATTATATTTTTAGCCCTTTCAAAAATAATAGTCGTTAAAATATTATATATATATATATATATATATATATATATATATATATATATATGTGTGTGTGTGTGTGTGTGTGTGTGTGTGTAGTTTATACATATAATATACATATTCTGTATATATTTTGGCTAGCAAATACAGTTAGTTTCAACCGGTCTTTTAATTTTATATTTTTCTCTTATAATAGGAATGACCCAACCCAGCCTGACCAAATAACCATATATGCAAGTTAAAATAATACGAAAAGTGAACTCTTTCCCCAGAAAAAACTTAGTTCGGAATGTATAAGAATGTGACAAAAAAATAAAAAAAAATAAAAAGTATAATTAGAGAGCACTTGAAATAAAAATGCCATCAATTTGGATAAAAATCTTGAAAAGAAAAATAAATGATAGAAGTACCATGTTTTGAAGGATTTACGATTCACTTTTAGTGTTGTTTTAATTTATATATATGAGTATTGGGTCGGGTGGGCCATGTCGGGTTGGATCATCTCTATTTTAATTGGATTAATTTATTTGACTGAAAATAAAAAATAAAAACCACAAAATAAGAAAATACTAGTGAAAATTGTATTTTTCAACCACTATGATTTTTGTGTGAGTTAGTAAAAGTTTTATGATTTTTGTGTGAGAAAATATAGTTATATGACTTTCGTGAAAAAGAGTCATAGTTATATAATTGTTGTGTGAGATAATAAATTTATATGACTATGGTAAAAAAAAAATCATAATTATATGATAATTCGTGAAACCTACTCGTTGATTGTTGAAGCAGAAAAGTTATCCATCATTTCTCTAAACAACCTCAACTTAAGGCACTGCTTCTAAGAGTACTTGAATGGATTAGTTGTTAAACAAAATCATTACACCTTCTGTATCTTTACCGATTCAGCCAAAAATCATCCATAATAACCTCTCAACTACGCCTCCGCCACAAAGTGATCCTTCATTTTCAAATGCGCAAAATAAGGCATGCTAGAAATCAAATTTCTAAATAAGAATCAAAATAAAGCTATATACGTAAATTGCACATGCAAAACATTGGTGAAACTTAGCATGGTATATACATATACTTTAATCGGAAAATGGTCAAATATATCCGTCTACTATCAGAAAAAAGGTTTAAATTTATCCCTCGTTATATACACTTTGAGTCCAAATATATCCCTTTCGTTATACTATTGGTTCAAATATATCCCTTTTCTGTTAAGTTTGTCCAAAGTGGACATCCAATCCTACGTGGCACTGACATTTGATGAGGTGGATGTCACATGGCTTGTCACCTCAGCGCTGCAACCCATTTTATCCTTCCCTTCTATTTTTTCAACCACTAAAATTTTGTTCCCCTCCAGTACCATTATTGTCACCATTAGCGCTACCATGAAAATATTGTATTTCAAATTTTAGTCTTTTATATATGGAATAGGGGCACTGAGGTGGCATGTCATGTGGCATCCACCTCATCAAATGTCAGTGTCACGGAGGATTGGATGTTCACCTTGGACAAACTTAACGGAAGATGGGTATATTTAAACGAATAGTATTATGGCAATGGTATATTTGGACCCAAAGTATAACGAAGGATATATTTGAACTTCTTCTCACAGTACATAAATATATTTGGCCCTTTACCGTTCTTTAATTCGTCCATTAATTTAAAAATAATTTGCTCGATTTAGTTTCAAACTTTGAATACAAGTAAGTTGAATATTTTTTTTGAAATTTTAGTATGTGAAGTGATACAAGTTTTATATGGTGGCATATATACGGATTATGACATAGTAATACTGTCTGAATTGCAAATAAAAATTAACCTAAAAAGAGAAGCGGTTTGGTAAAAATTTGTCCACATCAAATATTTATACTAAATCAATAGAAACGTGACATGTATTTGCATATAAATTTACCAGAGTGTTCATGCCTTTGGCAAATTGCAAAATTTCCTTTTAAGGAGCTCCCTCGTGTGTGACGAAGAGCTATCGGAATTACAGGGAGAAACAATTCGGGCATAGTACAAATTTTGAACTACACGATTAGCCCAACTCTATAAATAAACAGTTACAAATATATTTTTCAAGTTAGCTTCTAACGTTTCACTATGCCTCTTTCCTGCCTAAAATTGATCTGCATATATTCTTCACAATTAACCAATTAAAGGGTAAGAGTTAAAACAAAAATAAAAGAAAATCAAGATAATGAGAGCTAGAGTTATAACACAACGTGCTTTGGTGGTAATAACAAGTTTTGGGCACGTCTACCTTTTCTAATAAGGCAGTTGAACTGATTTAGTAGGTAAAATGTAGTTGGCTTTTATCAAAGGGTACAAGCCATTTTCCTTCTCTTCTCACTATTCTCCTTACCCTAATTTAAGACCATATACTGTCCAACGCCTATCACCTACTTTCATCTATAAATTTCAAACATAAGTTCTTTTCTAACATTCTTCCAAATCTTGATCTCATCACTTTTTTTTTTTTTTAATCAAATGCATTATACTTCAACGTCCATAAACGCCGGCGAAGAACCGCCACCGCCACCTCCGCCTATTCCGCCGCCACCTTTACTATCAACCGATCTATCTCCGGCCAACTTCTTCATGCAACCTAATACTTCTATGTTGAATAATCATTTGCCACTGCCTAATAACTCTCAAGTTGGTTGCGATAATATTGATTGGGCCGGGCTTTTTTCGAGTTCCACTACTAGTGGTATTGACACAGAATATTTCGTGCACCGGACTGCCCCCGTTAATAATAATAATGAGCCAACAACTATGCCAAACATGTCGATAACTCCTAGAAATATTATGATGGAAGGCGAACAACAACAACAACAGCAACAACAACATCAACAACAACAACACGATGGATACTGTAGAGACAAAGGAAAGTTCAGGAAGAGAAAATATGTACCACCTAGGATTGCATTTCATACGAGGAGCACTGAGGATATTCTTGATGATGGATTTAAGTGGAGAAAATATGGTCAGAAAGCTGTCAAGAATAGCTCTCATCCAAGGTAAGCATGTATTCATGCAAATTTATTTTTATGCGTGTATATATATATAGTTAGACTTTTCTATAACAGCTAGCATCACAACATATAACAATCGGTCATTATAAGAGCCGGTATTTTTATGGAACTAGATTATATGATACGTTATAATATATGTTCTCTATATATAACAACATTTATATAATAGTCAAAAAAAAATCAGAACAAATATGAATGTTATAGAGAAATTTGACTGTAAATTAAAATAGTGATGAACAACGTACAATTAAGTATTAACTACTAGTATAATTATGATGAACCATCCGAAAGTTGAAGAGTGCAAAAAAAATGATATATACAACTAACCTAAACTAGTTTGGAAATTGAAGAGTAACTAATAAAGTGATAGTAACTTATATTGAAGAATTAATTAAGTCTTAACTAGGGTGAAAATATCAAAGATATAAATGCAAACAAGAAAAAGATTAGATGAAATAGTAAACTCATCATGTGTGAACGTCTCTTTAGTTACATGTAAAATATTTTCTTACAAAATGCTTGTATACTTTGTGTTTAATCTTTATAAACTATATAGCGGAGTATATGAAATGAATCCGATGGTAGTAAAATATGCTGGAGTATTTTTATTTTAAAAACTATTTTTATCTTTTCCTCTTGACGGATGAACCCATAAGAAGAGTCATATATGAGTCTGCAATATTATGAAAATCTAATTTCGTTTTGCAAATCTTTTTTCGTAAACAATGAATATGGTTTTTATGTCCGTTCATTCTATCATGGTATCATCTTTAATCATTTTATCACATTCGAGTAGTTTACTATATGTAGACTAACAATTTCTCTATCTAGCCATGTTTGCATTATTGTTTTCTGTATGAGTATATGAGAATATCCGTAGGCGGATTTAGAGTACAATCTATGCGTCCAATAACTTTTGCCTAGACCTTATATATGTATTAGGAATTATTATTACATAATACCTTAAAATCGTTAAATGAATTCATAAGCTTCAAATCCTGGATCTGCTTATAAGAATATCATAAAATCATTTTATCACAATCGAGTAGTTTACTATATGTAGACCAGGGGTGACGCCACCTTTTGCTAAGGGTGGTTAGTTGACCAACCTTCGTCGAAATATTACGAAAAATTACACTGCATATATAAGTAAAATATTCATTTTAGATATATAAAATATATATTGAACACCCTTTGTTGGAATTTTTTTTTTTTTACTTTTTCAAGTCTGAACACCTTTAGAAAAATTTCTGGCTTCGCCACTGATGTAGACTAACATTTTATCTATAGCCATGTTTGCATTTTTTTTATTTGTATGAGCATATGAGAATTAGGTTGTTCACCTTCTCATGAAGAATGAGCATTATAAATTGTCACAACTTTGTCCAAGTGCTATTCATATGATCATATGTATAATTAACTTACGTTAACAACAATGTTGGAAATAATTAATTCTCATACTTTGAATTCAACAGCATCTTTATATATAACATTATTTCCTTATAGTAAAAATATTCGCTACTCTTTTTTTTTTTGTGGTAACAGGAGTTATTATCGATGTACACATCACACATGCAATGTGAAAAAGCAAATTCAAAGACTTTCAAAGGATACAAGTATTGTGGTGACAACTTATGAAGGAATTCATAACCATCCTTGTGAAAAGCTGATGGAGACCTTAAGTCCAATTTTAAAACAACTTCAGTTTTTCGCCAGATTTTAAATTATGTATTAATTATACTAAATGGGATATTATCTAAATGTCTCAAATTGAAAAGTTAACGTAACATATGTTGGTGTTTCATTGTGTTGATCATACGTATAGCAAGTCAAAGTGTACACTTCTGTATAGAAATGTAAATTATAATACCATACAGTCGATAAAATGAGGATATATATTACTAATGTTACCATGTTATGTATTTATGTACGAATGGAAGAACTGCAAAATACAAGAATTTCTAGTAAATTTGTTGTGTATTTACTTGACTATATGTTCCTTTTACTGAGATTCTAATATTTTAAGCTGACTTAGGGAATGGTGGTTTATCCTTTTCAAAGTTTTCACTTGTTACTTTGCATTATTGAAATTCGACCTCGACACTTTGGCATCCCCATTTTATTGACCTTCTTTTCCAATTATCTAAGCTGCCATCATGTACTATTCTATTACTACATATTGTTTTTTGGTGCTTCAGTTCTCTTATATCTTGTTGTGGTTACTATTTTCCATTTATATAGCTTCTCCTCTACCTTATTTCTTTTCCAAAACTCTTGTGATTATGTTTTTCTTGAGCCGTGAGTCTATAGAAAATAACCACTCTACCTTCACAAGGTAGGCTTAAGGTCTACGTATACATTACTTTCCAGACGCTACTTGTGGGATTAGACTGTGCATATCGTTGTTGTTGCCATCAGTTTGGAGAACAACCAATTTGTTCTCAAAACATTTACTATTTTTTTGTTTGGAGATTTAACCAATTATAATTCGAACTTAAATTCTTGAATTTTGATTATATTGCAAATGAATGAAGAGGGAGATTTAAACAATCACTTTGGACTTAATATTTGAACCTTTTAAAGATGGGAAACTTACACAAATGTCCCAAATAAATCTCAACTTACCAACCTCTAGCCATTAGTCATAGATTTACCAAAACTAGCCAACAAAAATTGAAAAACCAAATAATAGGGTTCTTTCTCTCAAAGAATCACATGCAAAATCACCTTCCATATTTTTAAGCGTGATTAGCAACATTAGATACAAGACGGAAAGGAAATTTCATGGACGGGGTAGCAAATAAGGTGATGAAATACAAAAATCTATACAATATTCCAAAAATCTAAACAAAAAAGGAACTTTTTCAATGGGTATAGTTGAAATTCATTGAAAATATATAGATAAGTCAATATACAAAATTTGAGGAAGATTGGAGGTGATTTGGACTGGTTTTGTATCAAAATTCGTAATTAAATCGAGTTCATAAAAGTCTTCTGCGACACATGTATCAAACATGTATCACGCATGTATCACACAGACATGTATACATGGATATACATGTGATACACAATTGATACATAAGTGATACACAAATGATACACAGTGTGATACACATATCATTTTTTTTTCATGTTCAGCTTTTACTTCGAATTTTCAATTCAAACCACCTCAAAACTTCACCAAATCATTCCAAAACTGAGATTCAAGCTCCTTAAGTTGTGCCCAATCTATTCTAATAACACCCACTCAAAACAAAGCACAAATTTGATATTTTTTGCTACAAATAGCTAATTGGCTAATTTGGCTAATATTAGTAATATTTTATCAATTGGCCAATTTTTGTAATGAGCTACTTATAAATGGACATAGCTGGTAATTTCCCTTTAAAAGATCCGTTCTATCACAATGCGCTTAGTCTTTGGTATAGGTTTTGCTTCCATTTTCATTAGCTTTGATTTGCTATTTCATTTTTTGTAGTCTTTTTCTAATCTAGTCTTCTAACTTTGAAATCTCTTTATGCATTATCAAAGACATTGACTCTTTATAATGCACCTTAAAATTCTGAAGCAACTGAACGGAAGTGTTTTCTGTTCACAAAATTATCACCTATTCAAAGTGACTAGCTGCTCTAGAAATCATAAACAAAGTACACCAACCAACTCACAGATAGCACATGTAAAGAATGTTAAACCTCGGATAACCGAATTAGGTCTCCATGTTTGTAGATCTCACTTTATTTCGTGTAGAGGTGCTGGAAAGGAAAGCTCACCCAACACCAATGAAGATCAATCAGTGAAAATATACAAAAACTATGACTTCAGAGCTATTGATATACATTTGTACTAATTGTACTACTAAGCAGGTAAGTACTTCAACATATTCGAACTCAATTACTTGTACAAGACATGAATGTACAATATAATCGCCCCGCCTGTATGGTGCCAACCCACCCCCCCTCAAGAACCCAAACAGAAGATGAAAGTGGGGAGCGAAGGAAGGACAAACTTGTCTCTGATGGAAAATCGACATGTATATCCGTAGAGGTTATGATTACCATTGAATCTGAAAGCTGGTGCTGCTTCTCGACGCAAACTGGTGCACACATCTGACTGTTCTGGCTGCTTTGAACAGTATTTCCTCTCAGCATAAATGCTGTTCAAAAGGTTTGAAACTGTGGTAGAGATGTTGGTGAGACATCAACTCAAGAGCTAGGCATATTGAGCAGCTCCAGTTAACAACCAATGTGAACTACAGTAAAAATAAACCTCTACCACTGAAAGCCAAAACTACAATAGAAAATTTAAGACTTGGAATTTTAGTAAGGTGGCACAGGGCTGTCATAGTTGGAAAGTGCACAAATCACGGCCATGTTGGGTGAGTTTTATTTTTCTTTGACCAACCCATTCTATTCTGTAAGAAAGATCAATATTATGAAGCAGTTGTTTAAATCTGTCCAGTTCATTCGACGCATTGGTGTTCTCCTGCATGAAAGATAATCAAGAAATAAGACAGGACAATGTAAGCAGATATATTTTTGGAATTTGACAAAACCAAAGTTGTCTTGCACAAATCATCTTTGGAGCCATAAGAATCTGTGCAAAACAACGCTTATTCAATATAAGAACATCTGGTTATAAGAACTGTCTCAGGAGTGCATACCTTTGGATTAGCTTCTCCATCTTTACCGAATACACTTGCCATTATGCTTGATCTATTAGCATTAGGCGAGAATCCCTCCCAAGGTGGGACAAAAATCAGTTTCGTGCACTGGACATGAACTAGATTCTTGCTCAGTTTCTCCCACCACACAGATCCCGACGAGTAGGACCACCATCTTATCATCATCCCAGTCTCAGAAAAAGCAACTACCCCCTACAAGTAAAACAACATTGTATAAAACTTGTGGACGCAATCTTTCAAAGGTGGTATCATTGTGCACAATCAAGTGGATAATAAACATGCAATGCGAAACGCCTAACATTACACATTTGTTCTGTTTACAGCCCTTCTAATAACTTTAAACTCTACAGTCTACATTGACTCTTGTAGGACCAGGAGAGGAGGGCAACAAGTTAATGAAACAATGAAAATGTCTCTATCTCTAACAAAAGAAGAAAAATCTCTTGTAGTGACTCGGATGCAGCAGTTCTATTAGTAGGGACTGGAACTCCTAATTGGCCATTTGCTAAAGTACAAAGTACAAACCCACTCATGCAACAAAACTTGCACAATAACATTGGCAACTTTGCAATGATGAACTTAAAGAGGAAGATCATATGAAACAGTTCATCAGGTATTATACCTCTCCATCCGGTGAAAAGCTAAGTGCTGATATTGCAGTAGTCACAGTCATTCCTGAAGCTCCTCCAAGCAAACTGGGAAATCCTGGAGGTCCACTTGCATCTAAGACTTTTATTTTTGTGATGCTGCATTAGGGTTTAAAACAGAATCAATATTACAAGCAATTAGATGAATAATAGATCTCAAATTACCTAGGTGCTCTTAATCATCAAAAACAGGGCCCCAAAACCCGGATCCTGACAAGGCCAGGAGTGGAGAAAGAACAGATTTACTTTGGTTCATGTTAAAGTCTTTTTTCTTATAACCGAGAAATCGCTGATGGCCAGTGGCGCATAGGTGAAACTTGGGGGATGTTGGCCGCGCCCCTTTACCCTTCTCCAAGTAAATATCAGGCTTTTTTCTGCGGCAGGGTTCGAACCTGTGACATGAGCCTAACCGACGCCTCACGCACTTTGTTAGAGAGAAACCAAGGGAAAGCCTTGAATTGGGATTGCACAGAGCAAAGCCTTGAACTTTTTAAAAAGAACTTTGAAAGCCAAAGGAGAAAGTATCAATTACAAAAAGACATGGATTAATTACAAAGCTATAGCTACTTATCTCAAAAAAGGAAGGTTTACAAAGCTACAGTTCATGAGAATAGAAAACTCTAAAATCGAGTATAGTATGCTTAATATTGACAACCAAGGATACTCAAAAGGAAGAAGAAATATAAATTACAAAACCAGTCCTAAAACAAACAAAAATCTAAATGATGAAAAGTTACCCCAAACAAGCAAGAGCTATCAAACAACCCTAACAGTAAAGGGCAATTACCAGACTGCTTTTCTTTCTCTTTTTTCTGTGTTTGGACAAGTGAGTGTCACCGAACTACAAAGTAGTTATAACTATATTATTTTCTTCATCGACCCTCTTTTCCTATATCAGTTCTTCCCTTTACAGATTCATATCATTCTCTTAGGAGCAACAGTTGGCAGAAAGACTATTTCCTCTTTTCTTTTTTATGATGAAAGACTATTTTGCATTTCCTCTTATGAATAATCAAAAAGGATGTTGGCATGGTAGCCAAAAAAATTGATTCTGCAGGTTCTTTACTGCATGTATTCTCAGTTGCATGACGAACACAAACAAATAATAATGACAATAATAAGGTCCAATGGAGCAGAATGAAACCTGTAACAATTAGCCTTATTATTATATAGCATAAGCAGTTAAAATTGGTGCTTAATCAAGGTTCTAGTTCTGCGTTCCAGCATGTTTGTTACTAAAGATTACTAGAATAAAGAGGGAAAGAAGCTGTTCATATGGCTGCCAGAATATTAAGTTGTATTGTTCACTAACCTTTGCATGTCATATACCCGAATGCTTGCATTGTTAATCTCTCCAATCGCATCTCCAACAGCTAATCGTGTCAATGGATCATTTAGCGCCACCATAGGGAATATGCGTGCAATTTCCTTCAATGCCACCATTGAATTTTGCAAGCAAGTTCTTCGCATGACTAAGTTACCAGGATCCATTGTCTGTAAAATGAAAGTGACCACCTGCAGATCTATCTAGGTGTTAGACATGCTAAATCTGAGAAATGCTTCAGTGCTAGACGCACAGTTGTCTTCTTATTATGTGGTAAATATCAAATTC